GTTTCTTATCCCACTTGGTTGGCCAAGCCCACGAGCCCATATGTACTCATGATTGAAGGGGAAGGGAAGCAGCTTCTGTTGTGATGGAGCACCCGTAGGTAGAAGCCTGACTTTTGGCTCCGTGACGCTCTTACAGTCATAGAAGACCGGGACCTACGGCTTAAAGTGGATTCCGAACCACTACAAACATCCATGGCACCGCCGGGATTCGAACCCGAAACCTGTGGCAACGAGCGCCAGAGCGCTAGACACTCGGCCATTCAGGTCCCAAAATTTGCCAACGGCACGCAGTGTTCCCAGGTGGTCACCCACCCAAGTACTGACCGCGCCCAACGATGCTTGACTTCGGTGATCTAACGAGAAACTTTCGTGGCATATTCAGTATTTGGTTACCGTTATTATAATCAAATATGATCATATAAGTCATTTTTTCTTATTCTTCAAAATAAAAATTATTAACTAGAAACGTTTACTAAAATTGTGATGAAATATGTCTCTTAAAAGACTCATTATATATTGTAAGTTCGAGGAGTTTCAGTAGGATAAAATATTTATTTTGCATTATAATATTTAAATTGATCTTTAAAATTAAAACATATGCAAATTGGAATGTACGTTTATGTAAGAGTAGTATAATAATTTAAAATTATGATGATTTTATAAATAGATAATATTGAAATATCAATTACAAAATGAAAGAATAACCAACGGAGTTATATGAAGATTTATTTAAAAAAATATTTATAAAATTAATTTGGTTTACAAAATCAAAACATATGTTTAACTTTTTGGACAATTTGCTTTTAAATGAGTTTCATTAATTCAACTTACTTACTTTTTACTCGGGCAAAATTTTGCAACCAAAAGCTAAAATTTTTTATTTTTAACTTTCATGAAAACTGAATATTTTTATCGAACTGAGATATTTTTTATTATTATATGATATCTAATACAAATAAAATTAGCCATTAAAACAATATCCTTACTCATGTGGATTTTGTTTTAATGGCTCTGATAACCAATTTAATCAAACATGATTTTTTTTTTTGTTAAAAATTTTTTATATAAATTATTACTTTTCACTGTTCATATATTTGCTAAGACTTCTGCACATTTCGCTGTATTTATAATAATTTATTAAACTTTTTATGAATATTCAATATTAGGAAATTTTATTTCCTTATACTTATTAATTCGTTCTATTACTTTACTTTTCTTACCCTAAGTATTCCAATTTTCCTTTTTTCCCTGTCTTAACAACTTTAAAACTATAAAAACAAAATTGTGAAACATTATTTAATATGAATAGATGGTAAGAAATTCTGCAGCTTTTTGAATATTCATACAACTCTTATGGAACAATTATATTTTAAGTTATGTAAAATTAATAAGACGTTAAGTAATAAGCATTCAGCGAAAAGTAATAAGGCAATAAGAACTTTACAAACTCATCATTATAAACGTCTTGTTACGGCTAAGTGTTTTTCCATTAATTTTTTATAGATGAATTCAGTTTTAATAAACAGGTTAATTGCAACGATTGAACTAGCATAGACTTTTGTTTAGTATTTCAATCAAAAGAGCCTTTCAGTAATCTCTATAATAAAAACCATAATGAGACATTTTGTTTTACAAGTTCAAACCGAGTACTAACGCAACTAAAACGAATTAGAAGTCCACGTGGTTGTAAAATGTATCACGCAAGGAATAGTAAAATAAATGTAATGCCGTAAAGAATTGGTGAAAGATTAATCACAACAAAAAACGCTAACAGCCTTGAATAATAAAGATTTGAATACCAGTATTGAAGAAGGTCCCAAGGAATTTCTAAATAAGATCATCATTTCTGATAGACCTTTCATACCTATTTACACAAACTGAGAACGATATGGGTTCACCAAGGACTTAATTCGGCGAACTCAAAAAATTATCATTCCTTTTATATCTTCTTTTACGACAAAAAGAAATCATTTGTAGATTACCCGCTGATGCGAGATAAAAAAAAAAGATCCGGCACAATATTCAAAAGTATTTATTTCATTTCTTGTTGTTGTTGTTGTTTCTTATCCCACTTGGCTGGCCAAGCCCACGAGCCCATACGTGCTCATGATTGAAGGGGAAGGAAGCAGCTTCTGTTGCGATGGAGCACCCGTAGGTAGAAGACTGACTTTTGCTCCGTGACGCTCTTACAGTCATAGAAGACCGGAACCTACGGCTTAAAGTGGATTCCGAACCACTACAAACATCCATGGCACCGCCGGATTCGAACCGAAACCTGTGGCACCGAGCGCCAGAGCGCTAGACACTCGGCCATTCAGGTCCCCAAAATTTGCCAACGGCACGCAGTGTTCCCAGGTGGTCACCCACCCAAGTACTGACGGCGCCCAATGATGCTTGACTTCGGTGATCTA